ATATCCACACTGAGAAGTTTTCGTTTTCAAATTTGTATGGAACGTTTTACTTTTAAAAACGTTTTGACCCAGGTTTTCCACCTACAATATTTATTTAAATTTTGAGAGGAAAAATTTTAAATTCAATTTCCAAAATCCATGTTTTTGTTTTTGATACGACCATTTTTAAACCGTTTTTAAAAACGATTGTTTGATAATTGAATATGCGCATGTTGAAATTAAATCCTAAAATTTTGTTTCTTTATTTTAAAAATATGCGTTTTCAAATATGATGTTCAAATTTTATTTTTATTAAATCACAACAAGTCGTTTGGTACACACATTGTCAAAAATATATTGATATACATATACTTATAAATAAGTTACAACATTTAATAAATGAAATACAGATGTTTTACATATTACTACTTATATACTTACATAAATACATACATACAGACGTTCCTGCCTTGCTTCCAAGCTCGGCCTGCGAATTTTACTGCACGCTGGTCAAATCCTGTAATTTAAATTAAGAAAGTTGTAAATTATTATTTTATAACCGATAAGAATTTGTTTATGTAAATTACTCTTACCAAAGCTTTTTTCGGTCAAAGAAGTCCACCAATGTCCCTTATATGTAGTTAGGGGTTAGAATGGCAGTATTGTCTGTATAACTTCATCGCCTTTTCTGAAGATTGAAGTAACCTATTTATCTGAACACAATTTTTCCGACAAATGATGCAAACATATGAAAGTTTTTCATTATAGCTAGGTAGCTTTTTAAATTCTAATGCAAAACATTTTAGTTTTAAATATTTTTCATACCTAATTGATTGAAAATAAATTAACGTTTTTATTTTAAAAATGTCTAGTTTTATTTTGCTTTTTTAAAATTATGTCGCACTACAACTTGTTGGGACAATATTCTAAAATGTTTAATTTTAGTTTTTAAAATACGCATTTTTGACGCTATTTCTTTAATGTCGTTTGTTCTCCTCAGTAAAAAAAAGTGAATATATTATAACGATCGTTTTTGTTTTGCGAATGTTTCGTTTTAAAGTCCTAAGTACAAATACTGTATTTTTTATTTTGTATGAAGTAAAACTATATCAACAAATTTTGTTTTTCAATTTCTTTTTAAAACTTGTGTTTTTCCTGTATCATTTTCTCAGCATCAAAAATCTTATTATTACGATTCCGTTGAAAAGATTTTTAAATATTTATATGCAGATTTTTTAAGCTTAATCTGTTTTGTCATCTGAGGGGACTTTTTTCAAAAAGTTCTTTAAGAAACTATTTTTATTTATAAAAAACTCAATTTTTGGAGGATTTTTTTTGGTGATGCAGTCTAATATATGTGTTCCTAATCCAAGTGTCTCAAAAGATCTTTCCTAAAGCTAATTAAAAGAATTTCATTTGCATTCTTCTCGCCTATATCCACGATTAAAATGATGCATGAATTCCATATAACTTGGTTTCTAAAAATAAACAAATTGAAATGTCATTTCGAACACACCTTGTGACAAATCGTTTCGTTTTCTACACCTTTAGATTTTTTATTATCTAATTTTTTTTTGGTAGCTTTCCCCAAAAATCTAAAGCAATTGAGCCAACGACTCGAATACATGCATACATACATACAAACAAGAGGGGCTTTAGCAACAACAACAACAACAACCGCTAAATATTTGTAATTACTGTTTGCTACAACATTGCGAATACACGCGAATAACGTTCAAATTTCAAAACACCTTTAGAATATAAAAAAATTCATAGAAAAGCCAGCACAGGTACAACGGACAGCAGCAGCAAGTAGGAGCCATCTGAAACTTAATCGCAAAGCATGTCGCTGAGTAGGGAAACAGGCGCTCAAATGCTACCAAAAAGGCAAATTGTGGACGCAAAGTGTATTCACCTCACAAATCAAACGAATTTGCATGCATACCTAAGTACATACATATGTTGTTGTAAATGTAGTAAATAGTGAGCTTCCGCTTGGGTTTGTGTATTAAAAAAAAATTTGACAATTTCTTTTTATGGTCAGAACTGAGTTAGTAGGGGACCTAACGGTATATCAGGAACCAATGCTGGACGCAACTTATTTGGTATTTTATGTTTGTGCTTCGCTTAAAATTAGACCAATTGTTTATGGAATTGCAAATCAAAAATGGCGAAAGAGCGTAATAAATATTTAAATTTAGGAAAGGTGGTTCGGAATGTTGTTAATTCTGTAGAGTCGTAAAAAATTTAGCAGAATGGACACTGCTGGCCTACAATAAAATTGTATGTTTATAAGTACATACTTAGTTAGGTACACGTGTGCTTTTCTATGAATGGCAAACATAAATCATGAAATTTGAAATTAAGTTGGGAGAAGAAATTTTGAATACGGTATCGTGTTACATAAAAACTTTTCTTTGCCGAAAAAAAAAATCGAAAAAACGTCCCGTGTGTAAGAAAAAGATCAATTAAAAAATGTCTGACTTCCAACAGTGCCGGTTTTCGTCATTACCAGTGTTGCCATTTTGGTATAATTCTACCAAATTTGGTATAATATTTTTCCAAATTTTTATTACGGTATCCATTTGGTACATTTTTCCATAAGAAGTTTTGTATTTCATTCATTTCATTGAATGATTAGTAAGTTTAAGTCGCATAAGGCTAACATTTTTTAAATGAATTCTTATGCAAAGAGATTTAACCTACCAAACAAATAAATATAAAGAGAGCTTGAGAAACGAGAAAAGCTTGTGGTATTTTTAATACCTTCCCCAGTAAAATTTCGCTGAAATCTGGGAAGAAAACTGAAAAATGATTTAAATTGGATTTTACTGACGTCAATTCAGCACCAGAACTCCCTTATTACAGAGACCGGAATAGATATGAAGCGAATGGAACAATGTCTGAGTTGTATAGTAGTTAGTTGTATCAATACTTTGCAATTTTGTTGACTGTTTACAAAAATAGTTTCCTTCTAGTCGCCTAAATTCATATGTACGTATTTAGGTCGGTCAAAACTGTTTCTAAGTTCCAAATCACAAGAGAGTTTATATTCAAAGGTTTTACTCTCGAAATAATCTAACAGTAAAGATTTTATTTTTTTAAAGAAACATATATATATATTTTTAATTTAATTAAATTATAGAAAAGTTTTGTATTAATTTAATTTCTTTTAATTTTTAGATGTTTCGCTTTTAAAAATAAATATATATTTTTTCTTTTTTAGTTTTAGATTTTATGGTTAAAAAAGAAAAAATATTTTTTTAATTTAATTTAATTTTTAAAAACTTATTTCATTTGTTTTTCCTTCTATAAATTTAATTTTCTTTTCGGTTGTTAATTTTATTTTCATTTAATGTTTACACCTAGTTTTTTTAAGAAGGATATGTTTTTATTTCACTTTACTTTTAGCATCTGTTTTAATTTTTTTTGTCTTTTTAAAATGAAATTTCTCTTAATTTTTAGATTTTGTTTTAAAAATAAAAATGTTTTTATTTTAACTTTTTTTATTTAATTTGTTTTTAAAGGTAAAAATATATTTTTAGTATTTTAAAAATTATTTGTTTATTTTTGCTTTATTTTAATTTTATTACTTTTTAATTTAAGTCTCATTTATTTACTAGTTTTTTTGTTTTGAAAAGAAAAATATAGCGCTACCTAAAGGTGAAAAGGTGCCAAGTCCACTTTTTTTTAATTGTACGAAAAATTGATGTAGATTCGCATTATCTGTCCTTCTGCATCAAAATCGAAATTTGAAAAAAGTGGACTTGGCACCTTTTCACTTTATATTTTTTTAATTAAATTTAATTTAAAAAAAACTTATCGCTAAAAGACCATTAGCATAACGCTAAGACCTCCTCGTTAGCCGATCTTTCAATTAGTCTTTCGAAAGACAGTAAAGAGCTTTCGGAATAGTTGCCAGAATTGACAATTTCGAAAAACTGTGGTGTGTTGAAAGGCAGTTGCCAGAATTGCCCTGTAACTCCGCTGAGAAAAAACTTCCGCGATGATTTAGATTTTAGAAGTTTCCTCTTTCTTCACGATTGATCGAATTTTTTATGGACGGATCTTTCTACACATAAAAAAGAGACTTGTTTAGCCTTGTCTTTCTTCAAAATGTGGTTTTTTTTTTAATCGGCCTTGCTCAAAACGATTGGAGTGATCTTGAAATTTTGGTAAATTTTGGTAAAAAAATATTTTTTGGGTGGCAACACTGGTCATTATCTCTCAAGAGAAGAATTAAAATTTGCAATCAATTAAATGACGATCATCTTAAGCTTCTTAAAAATAAAAATTTACCAAAATCCGGGCTTAAGAAATACACAAACGCACGTAAAAAATTTGTCATGTTTTATTATTATGATAATAAAAATAGACATAAATAAATACAACTGTTATAAAATAGTCATTATAGCTTTAAATACAATATGGTGTAGCACAAGGCTATAGTACATATAAACTTAAAGAAATAATAAAATAAATAAATATGTTTATTCTACGTAAAAGGCCTATGAACTATCAAGCAACACTGCAGGCAGTTCGAAGATGGTCGTCAGTATCCGTTAATGTGGCTGCACCGTTGTCAGTACTGCAATTATATTCTTTATATTTGCAATTTTTTTATACTTCAACTTAAATAGTCTTGCCATATCTGTAAATACATACTAAATACATACATAAATATGTACAATAACAAAATTAAATTACTTTTGCACTTCATACAAGCCAAACATATAATTTTGACAACATTTTTATAAAACTAATTTTCTATTAATTCCTTAAACCACTAATTTTCGTAGTTACATATACAATAATTTCTGGCAACATTCAATTGTTTTATTTTAGTTTTTTTTGCTAATATGTAAACATTATTTTCTCTTTGAAGAAACTTTTGAAAATTCTCCAAATCATTTACAACAAAAATAGTTATTACTCAACAATAAATTACTATAAATTATACTACAAATATTCGCTTTATGGAAAACAACTTTAACTACTTTTAGCATACTTTCATGCGCCGCTCACTGCCACTGCCCATGGTATGCCATGTAGTGTGGATCTTGATTCTGCGGCACCGGTTGATAGCTATCCGTCGCAGCTTCCTCCAATGTGGGATCCGTTTGCAAAGAACGTTTCCAGTAGCTGCCGCCCGATTCGCCACCCCAGTCTTCGCCGTGCTCATCGTAGTGGTGCTGATGGTGTGCATGTTCAACATAGACAACCTGGTATTAGAGAGATTTGTTTGCTTTGAAGTGAGATACACCAAGGAAATACCAAAGATACCCAAAGGATTGTCAGTGTGTGTGTGTGTGTATGTGCATGTGTGATGGTGTCAATAGGGGTATTCTCTGAGTCTTGCAAGGCCCTTGCATGGTGCACAGATTGCACAGATTGCACGGTAAAAACCGGTTTTCGTATGGGACAGCTTTGCAATCCGTGCACCGTGCGAGGGCTTTGCAAGACTCAGAGAATACCTCTAATGTGTTTGCGTTTGGTTGCATTTCATAATGCTTTTGTTTGTTTTTGTTTGCTTGCATGTTTGTAGTGTTGGTGAATGCAGGAGCTCATCGCTGGTCCCTTTCGGATCTTCTCTCTTTCGATTAAGGATAAGAATGAAATTTTTTGGGAAAGCACTCCCCTTTTCTTAACTAATTAAAAATCATAGTTTTGTTATTAAAATGCCTACAAAAATTGTTAACTGCCTTACCAAAGTTCAGCAAGGCAAGGTGGCTCCGAGCCTATATAGATTTTTATTCTAGAATAATTTTTTTTTACAAATGGCCCTAATAGGAATGCGCGTCACACACGTCTATATGTATGAAAACTTTTTTTTGTTTAAGAGAATGTGATAGTAGTGTTCGCAGATATGTATGTATTTAACAAAAAAATATATATGTATTTGTACTACCAAAATACCTTGTATCTGCGGCCATAAGGAATATCAGATAAAGCTTTAGTATGATTTGACATTCGCAGAAAATGTGTATGCAGTAACCATTTTAATACTAAATATTGATAAAGTAATGTTAAAAAGATATTTGTGTAGCGTGTACCCCATTCCCTTCAAGTCTCATTAAAAAATTCCTTTCCCTAAAATTGTTATTTGCAGTGTGACCTTAGAATTAAGATTATGGATATTTGTCAAAAAAATTTAAATTTTTACCCTTGTCCAATGTTACAAAAAAGCTTTAGTTTGAAGGTTTTTGTCTACATTGGAAACACCCGTTTTATGGGAAAGTTTTTCATACTACTTATTTAGTACCGAGCTTTAGGAGCTTTTCCTTTAACCCTTTCAGTACAAGCGTCCAACTTTTTTTATGCTTAAAGCTCTTTTTTGCAAATAAGGGCCTTTTTTGTTAAAAGAACAGTCGTTCAGTTGACCGTGTTTTTTCACAGAAGTTAAAAGTATCCCAAAAATCTATAAAGAACATTGTAAAATATTGAAAACAATTGACTATTTTCGTTGGAATTGGGATTCGAGAAAAATTTTAACCCTCCTCTGCACGAGCTATGAAGGAGATGAATAAAAAATCTTACTGTGAAAAACGTGTTATTAACGTATCAATAAAACTATATGGGAAGAAAAAACTAAATATTATTTCGCCAAGGAATATATGGAAAATTTTATGAAAACAATAGTAAACAGTAGGGTGGCAGTGAACTTATTATTTATTGACACAGCATAGAATGTGGGAACAGCTTGCATGTTTCATTAGTTTTCCTTTTTTGCAGTTGAGTTGCGCGCACACGAATAGACTTTTTTCGACCACGCATACAAAAGTGAGGTTATATTCAAATGTCATCTAACCATAAGCAAACCAATTCCGTTGCGTTATTCGCAGTTAACATCTCAATGCATTTGTTGAATTTGATACATTTTCATAACACTAATTAGGTGGGAAATATTTTCAAAGTAGTGACACCATATTTGGCTTCGTATGCGATAGAGGGTTAAGGCTTAGTCATAGTTTTAAAATATATTCCGGAAAAGAAAAAAAGAAAAATAATTGAAATCACTTTTCCTGTTTATTTTTAATTTTATTTTTGAAAAAAATCTAGAATTAGCCGTTATACAAATTTTCAGACTTTTGCCTACAACGGTTGATTTTTTGTACTGAAAGGGTTAACGAATATTATTATAATTGAGATTATTATTATACAAACGAATCGCTTGTAGCGTCTGGAATTTGAAAATAGCCTTGAAGTAAACTTAAAAAATTGTTCATTAATTAAATCTGGCGCACCTAAGAAACCACGTTTGTATTTTTTATATGAAAAGATATCATACTTAACACCAAATAGTCGAATATTTTGTTCTTAACCATAAACACTATTGTTAGTCGATTCGACAATGCATTTTTTGAAGTTGACATTTCATTATTTAAACTATAGCAGAACCTCATAACATTTATTTTATTTTACTAAGAAAATATTGAAATAATAACATATCGAACATTTTTGACGATTGTTGCTTTAAAGCTTAAAAAAAAGTCAATGCTAAATACACATTCGTCGTTTTGGCTAATAATTATTGTTACGTATTAAAAATATAAGTGTTCCAGGGTTAAATTAGGGATGCAGAATCACTCATTCCTAATCTATTTAAGGCCAAAGAACCTTTCTAGTTTGTCTTAAACACAAATTAGAGTTCAACTGACTTGTATATAAGAGGGGCTAGTCAGTATCAACATAATGGATGGAACACATCAAACCTACTGCAAGGCTAGATCCATCGACAATGCTTTCTAATAGGGGGTCAGTATCATTGAAAACTTACTTGAATATAGAAAATATAGCTAGCATCTTGGACTTTTAGGGAGACACACGGCATTCAGCAGGTTATAGTCGCATGGATGGGGTCACTGTCCAACAGCAGAGTAATCAACGCAGTTGTAAACAAGGGGTCGTGATTAAAATCGACTACAAGAGACACTTCGCAGGGAGGTGTAATATTTATTGCCCCTACTGTGGCTCTTCGTTTAAAAAATGAAAGCTGCTAGAAACGTTTAAAGTAAGGTGAGTAAAAGTTGTTGCATTTGCTTACGCGGATGACGGCGGTTAAATAAATTCCCATTAAATTCTTGCCAACAATTAATGATATGATGGAAGCGGCACTGAGAAATGTTTTTAGTTTGACAAAATAAAATGGACTACGAGTAAACTCTTCTAAAGCTTTATATGCCTTGTTCAGACGAAGAACAAAGATCCATGAATTATCTTTACAAAGACTCTGGATACGACTGACTTTTACCTTTCGTTCTAGGTGAAAAACTTAGGTAAATATTTATTATCCTCCGAAATCGATGAAGCGGTTACCGATATACACTTACCTATAATATTGTTTCTTTTTAAGTGATTGTTGTATATATTAACTTAGATTAAATTGGTTTCTTTAGTTATTGCAATATAGGAGTTTTCGTGTCCCTGAAATGTACAGATATATTCAAAAAAATATCAATATATTCCTTTTTTTGTTCTAAGTGTAATAACTGTACCGAATGTGGTAGAAATTGATAAATCGGTTACCGTAGAATGTATATGTAGGCATAATTAGGCTGTATCATAATCTGCCAAGAGGTTATTGCAAATATTTATTTTGAATTTGGTGGGAGTTTGTAAAGCGGCTATTGAAATATAGCATTTCATCACAAGTGGGCAACGCCACGTTTCATAATTGGTTAATTTTATGCCAAAATTCTACTAGACATTCCACCTTTATCCAAATTGGATAGAACTATCGTAGTTTTTGGAATTTTCTATACAACCCTTACATTAATGGTTTATTGTCCGAACACCATTATAAAGGTATGTTTCTTTAGAAGAGAAGAGTTTATATGGTCTCAAAAGTGGTTGAAAATTGCGTCCAAAATCGCTGTTTAAAAATTTACGTATTTGTGTATAATTGTTTTTGCAACCTTTTAAATTTGAGTTGTTGTCGCATTTTATTTTACTTCGTATTTGAAACTGAACTTTGAACAATGAAGAAAAATGTGATGATGAAGAAATAAGTGATAACGATTAAGACAAAAAAGTGAAGGCAAAAATGAGGATAAAAACTAAAATGAAAACAATGTGAAATACATAAGAGTTAGGTTAACTGAAAGGGTAAGAAAATTTTCGGCAAGAATCGAAATAAATTCGGTCATTCAAATTTAGTTATTGAAAGTGGTCAAGCTACCGAAATTTATCGAATCACGGAAGTTTATAGTTATCGAAATGTATCGCGTTTATTGAGTTATCCTAACATATCAAATTTATCACTGTTTAGTGAGTTGTCCTAATTTACTAATACTTAGTTATCGAGCTATAAAAATATATGGGATTATCAAAATTGTCAAGTTGACGAAATTTATCAAGTTATCGTAATGCATCGAGTTCTTTAAACTATCAAATTATCGACATTTATTGATTTACTGGTATTGGTCGATTTATCGAATCGAAGTTTTCGGAATTTTTGAAAATATGTCGAGTTATCGAAACTTCAAAGTTATAAAAGCTTATCGAATTCTATCGTGATACTAGAGTGTAACGAGTTATTGAAATCGGTGATGGCATTCATAAAATATGGAGCTATCAAAATTAACCGAGTTATAGAAATTTATAGAGGTATCCAGTTTATCGAGTTATCGATTTATATCGAATTATATATATTTATCAGTTAACGAAATATATCAAGCCCTCGAATTGCACAGTTATCGAGCTCAAAGAGCTGCTATTCAATCGTTCGATTTGTGTGGAAATGGGTTTTCAACAATTTTGGATTATAACAATTTAATAGCTGAAATACAATGCCGGCGAACGGCGAACTCACCACAGCGAAATTCGCGCTGTCAAAATTAGAACACCCGCAAGCATATGAAATTGAACACAGCCAAAGCGAAATGCGAAGTTCGCTTGGCGGCGTTTCATGGCGATAGATTTATTTCTATCGCTCTGCTGGGCGATGACAGCTGTGCGTGCCAAAGGTGGCCGTATTTGTTTTGTGCTTTCAAAGTTTAAAAAGAAAACAACCTAAACACGATTTTTTTTTTGTTGTTTGAAAAATATAGTTGTGGATTCGTTAAATCTGGGTTGAAACAAATTATTTATAATAATCTTTCTTTGTTTTACATTTATATTTGTTATCATTTCCTCATTTCTAAATATGGTTTAGTTTTTTCTAAATATGGTCACCCAAATTATAAAGGCGACCAAATGGGATCAGCTGTTTTCGCTACCGCTCTAATTCTGTTTAAGTAGGCGAAATAGTTGGGCGAACGGTGAACGACAGCATCGCCCAATTCGGCGAAGTTTGCCGTTCGCCGGTATTGTATTTCAAGCATAAAATTTTTGTGAGAAAAAAATATATATATTTGACTTTTTAGGTACCAAAGAATTTGAAAAAAAATAAAAATCAAATCAGCTGCTCTACTTAAATTGCCTGTTCAATGTGCCTTGAGGCCAATAAATTTTGCTTGATAACCTCCTGGGCATTTTTTATACCCGAGCGCACTTGTGCACAAGGGTATATTAATTTTGCTCACATAACGGTTGTTTATAAAAGCCAAAACGAATCGAGATAGATATAGACAAATGTATACATAAATGATCAGGATGAAAAAAGAAATCGATTAAGCCATGTCTGTCTGTCCGTCCGTCTGTCCGTCTGTCCGTCTGTCCGTGTACACGATAACTCGAGAAAAAATTGAGATATCTCAACGAAATTTGGTACGTAGGTTTCCCTTAATCCAAGGTAGGTTGGTATTGAAAATGGGCGAAATCGGACTTTAACCACGCCCACTTCCCATATAACGGTAATTTCCAGAAATACGAAAACTGCGATATTTTAGTAACTACTGAAGAAAATTCACTCAAAATTGATATTTACAATAATTTTTAGACGAAAAATAAGAATATTATAAATTTTTGGAAAATGGGCGTAGCCACGCCTACTTATGGTTACATGTGTATATCTTGGTAACCGCTGCACCAATTTCTTCCAAACTTGGCACAGTTGTTGGGCCTTCGCATAATATACCAAATGGCCGAAAATTTTTAAAATCGCTCAATAACCACGCCTACTTCCCATATAACGGTAATTTTCAGAAATACGAAAACTGCGATATTTTAGTAACTACTGGAGATTATTCACTCAAAATTGATAATTATAATAAGTTTTAGACGAAAAATAAGAATATTATAAATTTTTGGAAAATGGGCGTAGCCACGCCCACTTATGGTTACATGTGTATATCTTGGTAACCGCTGCACCAATTTCTTCCAAACTTGGCACAGTTGTTGGCCTTGGTACAGCATAAAAAACCGCCGAAACTTTTTAAAATCGGACAATAACCACGCCCACATCCCATATAACGGTAATGTAGAGAAATACAAAATCTTCGATAAATCATTAAATATTGAAGCTAATTTATTCAAAATTGATGCTTGCAACAATTCTTTACCAAGAAATACGTTTATGGTAAAATTTTGGAAAATGGGCGTAGCACCGCCCATTTATGATCACATATAAGTATATCGGTAACCGTTTTACCAATTTGTACCAAACTCGGTATGGTTATTGTACTTGCCACATATAAGCAAAACGTTGAAAATTATTGAAATCGGACTAAAATAACGGCCGATTCTCATATAACGGTAAATTTAAGAAATGCTTGAAACTTCAATATTTCGAAATTGAAGGACACTAATTTACTCAAAATTGATACACCTCGGCTTACCATCTAGCGGAAAGTTTCGGAAGGGTGAAGAAACACATATTTAATACTTGCACCAGGTATTTAATGTTCGGCTCCGCCCGAACTTAGACTTTCTTACTTGTTTTATTTGTCGAACTAAAGAAATGTTTAAAAATAATATAGCATAAAAACAGCTTTGGTTTTAATTAACCAGTAACTTCAATTGAAAATCTGCTTGGGTAAAAAATTTAAAACCAAAGGTTTGTCTCTACGGGAAGCCATTGATGTTACTGGAGAGATTTACAACAATTTATTTCTAAAGGAGAATAACGAAAATTTCAAAAAAAAATTAAAACAACCAGCACAGGTTTCTACTATTTGGGAATATCAAGCAACACTTGATTTGTCATTGTAATATTTCAATCCCAGAAATAAACTGAATAAAAAACAAAATATCAAACTCTATTGAATTTTTTTTTGTTGTTTTCGAACATATTTGCAAGCATATTGACTAATGTTTTAGTGCTTATCTAAGCGCTCAAAAATTGATTTTTTCTTGCTTATTTTATTCGACGTGCTAAGGTAGAAATCTTAAAATATTTGATGGGAAGCAATTTATAAGGAAAATAAAACGTAAAGTTTCGCTCAAAGTTTCAAGGTTGGGCTGCCGCTCTTTCTAAAATTTGCGACCTACTTGGCAAAATATACATGATTGTGAAGCGGCCACGTGCTCGACAAAGATGAGTGAATACGTAATATGCGTTGGGAATCCTCTCATAAAATCAATCCTTTGGCATAAGTATTGGGAAACTACTTTTATGCGCGCGTCAATTATAAGATACTTTTTAGGAAAAAATTTCCAGTTTCTGTTTAGTAAATCACCCTTGGCAAAAAATCCTTATATTTTACTAATCTAAATAAATAGTATTAGCATGCAACTTTTTGTAATAGTATAATTTTGAAATAACCAATATAATATATACAGAACCCTTAAAAGACCTAAAACTTTTATATTTTTTAAATGCTCCTGCGCTTGGAAATACATAGTAAGAAATCAAAAGGGTTAAAGAGACAGTTCAACATGCTTTAAATTATAAAGTGCAATATCTATACAACGTTTTTCAAAAACTTGCTTAGCATAAATATTTACCACATACATAAGTATGTATGTATTTACCAACATTCGTTAAATGCGTAAACAGACTTTTTTTTTTAATCGATATTCCGCAGTTAAATGCACATGCATTCACACACAGACGCTACCGCATGCCTTGAGTCTTATAATTTCAATAAACTCCTAAAAAAGTTGTAAGGATGGTATTCTCTTAAGATCGAAAATGATTCGAAGACCTGGAACGCTGGCACAATTTTATTGAATTTTCATTAAAATTCTTATGCGAAATAGTATTTTCTATTTTCCAGCTTTCCACGTTTTCGAGTTTAAGAGAATCCCCTATATACATATTATTTCCATTGAAATGAGTGCCACCAAATTCATTTAACAAAAATGTGTGCACGAGCAAGTCAAACGAATGGAACAGCAAACAAAATGAAACACGCGCATTGCAAAAACGTGTCGTGGGGATGCAGAAACATGCCTTCACTTCAGCTCTTCAGCCCATCGTTCGAAAATATACCAAACAAAATACCAACCTTTTGCGGCGTACCGCCACGTTTTACATCAATCCAAAATCTTGCAATATTTATCAGCAAACCAATGAGTGCAATTGCAAAGAATTTAATTTGTAAGTGAGCGCCTAAAATTTTCAGCAACAGCTCGATTTTCGCCTTGAGGAAGGAACCCAACAACACCAGTTTGGCGATTGCCTTCTTCTTCTTCTTTTTCTTGCCACGCATCACTGCAAAATAGAAGGAGAAGAACAAACAGAAGAAAACAAAAAACAGTGCGGCACAATGCTGCATATTAGTATAATTCAGTCGATCAACACGAGTGGGCCTATAACTAATAGTACTAACGATTCATAAGTTTAAAAAAAAACAAAAAACGGTTGGTTGGGAGGGTGGGTGTTTGTTAGTTTGTTTAGTGCGCTTCGTTGTGCATTAGATAGTTAGAGGAGAAGCGTAAGCGTTTAACTTTAAATAAATACTTATATATATATTAAATGAGGAAATGCAAAGCGGGCGAGTTCGCGCCTCAAGTCTTTTGTATTGTGTGGAATGAGAAGGAGAAAGTGATATGTATACCTACTTAAAAAAATGCGTTGGGAATACAATTTTGCAATTTGCAATGTGGAAAAAATGTCATAAAACGTCAATTAGGATGGCCTTGAATATTAATGCTTTTAATTTAATTTTTTAATTTGTGTGCTTATATGAACAATATTTTGGCCCAATCACAAGAAATTCGCGAATGACTGAAACAATTTGAAAGATTGGCAATAAAATTAGGCCCTTGGTACGACTTGAAAAATATGTTGTGACAAACATAAAATACGGGTCCCACAATATGTCGAAACTGATTTGAATTGCATGTTTGCGTAATGCTGGCTTTGAAATTAATGAACTCGTCAGTTTTGCATTAACTCAATGTCATACATTTTAACTTATGCATTTAATTTTTAATAACAATAAAAAAATAAACTTAATTGTAAAATGGTTCCGCAAAACGCACACAAAATGCATTCGAAAAATTGTTTAAATTGTATAAATTTTACTTGAAATATTCCTTCAAGCGAAATTGTGGATATTTTATTTTAAGAAGGCATCGTTTTGAGTATTGCTTTCTTGATAAGACATAAAGAAAAAAATGAGAAAATAAATATTTTAGATCACATTTAAGAAAAAATAACCTCTGCTTTTAATTATTTTAAGCAAAGTCAAATCAAAATTGTACTCATTTTTTTGAGCTTTCGTAAAAATTTAAATTGGTATGTATTTAAATACAATGTTAAATCTGTAAATTCCCGACCGCGAATAAGGCGGGATTTCGAAGAAGAAATTTAAATGGAAATACATTTTTCAAAATCGTTTCTAATTATTTTTAGGGCCGCTTTCTCGACTGCCTGCAAAAAATTTACGGCCAGTCTACTTAATCGACTTTTTATCGATTGCCTATTGTCAGAATGTGAGCGACGAATTTGATGGGCAATGTTTAACAGGCAGTCTAGAAAACAGACCTTAGCCTTAGCCTTAGACCGTAGCCAAAGAACTGGCTAGCATTAAAATAAATTTAACGGCACTCAGTTAATGATTTAAATTTTTACTCGTCAACACTTTTGTGTGAATTTTGCGCCAACTTATGCTTATGTATTACGCATACTCAACTATACATATGTATATATGTACATAGATTACATGCATATCGTATAACACCACCAACCGTTACTTACACTGCATTGCCGACTGCTCTGTCTTAGCGGCGATTTACATACGTATCCGCTTGCAAAAGCTTTTGGGTTTATGTATTTGCTAACCGCAAGCTATTACAGTAAATATGGCAAGGCTTGCTTTGTAAAAAAAGCGTCATTCATTTAGCATCAGAAATACCCTACACCCAAATGTTATAAAATTTTATCTAATGGATAAACAAATTTTTTGGAGCAGGGGAGTGTTGCACGGTTCAAATTGTGTTGATTATTGCTTTTTAGGTATGCGAGGTATGCGGTTTAGTTGGTTATTTTGTGGGAGATTTTTGTGGCAAGATGTATTCAGCAGGTTAGTTTTTTTAATAAGAGTTTTACGGTTATGGGGTAGAACATATTTTAAGAAACTTATCACATATCTTTACATACATAAATATCCACTTAATTGGCGAGAAATGTTTGAAAGCTATAAGGGATCATGCGTAATGGACAGAATGGTTCTGGAACATATGTTGTTATGTTTACGTGAAAATGACCGGTTGGTGGAAAATTATGGATAAGTAAATTTTGTATTTGTTTAATTGAAGTATCTACATACATATAAATTTAGGTATGTCATCCCTCTAGTACATATGACCGTTTCCAGGCGGGCGTTATATAAATGCTTGCAAAATATTAATTTAACATTTTAGCACCAATTTGAAGAAAAAGTTCATTCAAGTTTATCATTTATTTCATTTTTTTTATATACTATGGGAATATGTTAACTCTTCACATTTAAAGGTTCTTTTTTTCAGTTGAATTCAAAATATGTGGTGTTTAGTGCGAAAAAAATTATTTTGCGAAGAAGATGGCTTTTTTTCATTAATTCAGACTATGTATAATTGGAATATTCAATAAACAAAAAATCGTAAGTAGTGTGAGGTATGCAGGAGTGAAACAATTAATTGATTATTTACTTGTGCGGCTTCCGTGAAAACCGTCTGTAGACTATCTGCAGAGAGTGCGGTACAACAAAATTGTGTCAGTTATTTTGAGTTTGATCTAAAATCACTCTAAAAAAACCAAAACGCACAAAATACTCACAAAACCAGGGGGGGGGGGGCAAATATTCTAATGCTTCGGGTCTAGTTTTTCTCTATGCTGCCATTTTTATACCCAAGCGCCCCCGTGCACAAGGGTATATTAAATTTGTTCACATAATGGTTGTATGTAACAGCCAAAACGAATCGAGATAGATATAGAAAAATGTATACATAAATGCTCAGAATGGACAGAGAAGTCGACTAAGCCAAGTCTGTCTGTCCGTTTGCCCGTGTAAACGATAACTCGAGCAAAAATTGAGATAACTCAACGAAATTTGGTACGTAGGTTTCCCTTTACCCAAGGTAAGTTTTCATTGAAAATGGGCGAAATCGGACTGTAAGCACGCCCATTTCCCATATAACGGTATGTTCGAAAAAATTCTAAAACTACGCTATTTCAGTAAAAATTATGTCCAAATTTTTGAAAATTAGTATGTCATGAATTGAAGCGAACTGGAAACCTGCATGTTTTGTTGTCCGGCTTTTAATTGGCGCCATGACTGTAACTCATAGCATTTAGGATTTAACGAATTTCTACTTTGAAAATGCTAAAGATTTTTCCAAATTCAAACTAAATCAGTAGACCTTATTCTAAGATTCAAGTTTTGCATTCCGCATAGCGAAATTTCACTCCTGGTTTCAATAGCCTTGGTAAATGAATTTCTTGAACTCCTGTAGAATCGCGCCGCTAAATTTAGTTACCCACAGATTCTCATTTTGAACATTGCTTATTGCAAATTGGGATCGCCTATGAATTTCCTTAGCATCTTCTTAACATGTTTTCACTTTTAAATTCAAAACAATTTAAAATTCTGCCAGCAAGGTGTGCTCCCTCTCTATTGAAGTAGCATAGGAATGTATATATACCCATCAGGGTACTAAATTAATTATCAGTAGAAGTCATTTTCTCAGTGAGACTAAAGTGTTAAATTGTAAAGATATTTTTCTTGAAAATTAATTAGAAGGCCTGTTGCTATCTGAAAAACTTAAATTCAATTTGAAGTACTAAAGTCGAGGTTCCATTTGTTAGACCTCTGGGTGTAGGGTATTTCTACAAACCATTACCCTACGGAAGTGATAGTGGAAAGGAAACTTAGAAAAGCTTTTAGTAATCTAAGATAAGCGCACACCAATATACTATCCAGCACCAAATACTTATATATAATACATATAATCATAATATCTACATTTTTAGCAATTAATACAAACTAAAGGTTAGAGAGCTAAATAATCTCAAGGGAAAGAAAAGATGAAAGGAATATTTGTGTTGGGAAAGGGTGCGATCAGTTTGATAAATCACACGCAAACACACACCTCCAACGCTTCTACCATATTTATGCGGTTTCTTATGTTTGCGCTTGTGTCCGCCATCCAAGTCAACCACATCGACTGCATCGGCCAATTCCTCCAGCAGCCCTAAACCCAAATGATTTGATGGCTCATGCTCGTACACAACTGAAACAGTGTCATCGGCTGCATGTTGATGCTTCCGCTTTTTCTTTCGTTTCTGTTTTCTCGAAGGCTTGCCATGACCTGTTGACACAGGCACCCACTCAACAGCATCGTCGTGCTGACCGCCATGACCATGGTTATGTAATTCCAATTCAGCTGGTTGCACCACCAGTAAAGTTTCTGGTTTCTTCTTCTTCTTATTTTTGCGCTTCCTTTTGCCGCCGCCGCCGCCGCCAGGCTTTTTAAGCAGACCTGGTGGCGCGTTGTCATTGTCTTGGATTTCAATAAATTCTACGACATCGGAATTATCATGTACGCCGCCACCAGGCGCTGTGCCGATTAAGGGCGTCACTTCACTATGATGCAGCTGGCCCTGCACGCCACCAACAGGCCGACCCTGAAAGTGGACTACGTGTTGGCTGGCAGCCTCATCACGATCTGTGTAATTTTCTTCGTCTTGTTCAACCTCTGCGTTCGTGTCGGCTTCGGTCTCCTCATCGTCATCATCTTCGTCTTCGGTGTCGCTGTTTTCTTCTTCATCCTCCTCTTCATTATCATCGTCTTCATCATCAGTGGTGACAAAATTTTGCTTTGCATCTGACTGCACATAGTCGTACTCGCGTCCAAGGAAGCTGGTTAGGTGAAACGCGTTGAGTAAATAAATTTAATTGAAATGTTGCACAAACAAGTATTTCATGCCACTTACCCATCCATTGTCTCAGCCAGATATTTCTTCATGTAACTGGTACCAATTTCGATTTTCTTTAAAATTGTGGATGGCTTTTCTTTGGTGAGTACCTCGGAAGCGCTATAGCCGCGCTTCTCAATAGTCGCATTCAGCTGGCGATCGGCTTCCACTGCGGTAAAGAGAAGATAGAAGAAATCAGAAGCAAGAAATTTATTAATATAGAAAAAAAGAAAGAGCTCCATTTGTATATATGTATGTATGTATATAGGTAATAACGAGACAGTAAATCACCTGCAGTCAGTTGGCCATATTAAAGAAATTAGTCGAATACAACTGGCCTGCAGTTATGTGACTGTAGGCCTAATTTAGTTGACTTGCATAGAAACCAGAACCTATGCCGGCAAGTTCACATTGCTGTTGACATAAAAGAAAAGTGTAAATAAAATAGTTTACGCTTTTCACTCTTAACAATCTACTACACGTCAACAGAGCGGCAGACATGTACGTCTCTACTAGCAGATATGTACAGACATATAAGTAAATATAAATGCATGCTTAAATATACCAACTGACCAAGTTAGGCAGCCAGTTAAACCGGTTCGCCTTATCAATAAATTGAAAACAAAATAAAAACAAAAACATACGCGCGACTAGTTTACTAGCCGCCATGAAACTAGAAATATGCATGAATGCAATTAAAAGAATTTTCAAGCTTGCATTTCATAGGTTTAGACGTATTTATTCACCCCCTAGAAATTTTCTGGTTTTAAAAACTAATCAGTCGCTTGATCGAAATATTCGACCACCTCTGCGTACTGGTAAATTAAAGCAGCGGTTTAGTTTTTTTTTTTTCAGGAGAAATTCTAATATTTTCGCCAATTATTTCGCATAATGCTACAGCCACCCTACTGCCAATGAAGATCCGAGCGACAGCTGAGCAATACCCAGAGAAGAGTAGGAGGAGAGACGTATTTATATTAAAGAAATGGAAATTAGAGGCACAAAAGTCGAGTGCAAAGAACTTGAACTTGCAGGCAGGAACGCGGTTAACAAATTTGATTATAAAATAAGTAAATAGTCAACCGGTTTCAAGACCCATCCTTTTGTTGTAAAAGAAAAATTTGGTAACATACCTCCACAATACACTCGAGATATGGTGACCACTACTCAATATACATTAGAATGGGGACAAAGGTGGTATGGGACGGAACTGGGGAATGTATGATGCCATCTCCAAACACATCCTCAGCTATGCTGCATCCGTCTGGCAGAAGAAGGCAGAAGTGAAGTCCACACAGGCCAAGCTCAGCAAGCTTCAACGCCGACACCAACTGCGGCTCTCAAAGACTGATCACGGCGTCGGAGTTGGAGCTTACGGCATGCAACTCAGACTGCTTCTTTTCACTAGCATGGGGGGGAGCAAGGTAGCTCTGTCTTTCAGGCCGAGGTTTACGCTATTGAACTATGTCTATGTGGTAAATGTGGCAACCAAAAAACACTTATACATACACTAGGACATCAGAGTGACACTCCTAGCTCTTAAAGCGCACGAGGACACCTCACAGCTGGTGTGGGGCTGTCTTCAAGTTTTTATAGTGATCGCCTCCAGGAACCGGGTATACCTCATATCGGTGCCAGGACACAGTGGAGTCATGGCAATGAAGTGGCAGATATTCTCGCCAAAAAAGGGGCTGCACAGGGATTTATAACTGGGTCTGCCATGTAGCTCCGTGAGGCGAAAGTACTATATTTGGATGAAGAACGAAGTGAAAAATTACTGGACAAATACGAAAGGTAACAGACAGGCCAAGTCCTTCATTCCAGATATGTCCACAAGGAGAACGGAAGAACTCCTTCACTTCAGTAGGCATGAAGTAATAATTTTTACAGGCTTTCTTGCTGGCCACTGTAGTGTAATGGAATACTTGTCAAATATAGGAGTTATCAACTCTGACCAGTGTGGGTTGTGCAAGGAAGTGCAGGAAACAGCATTATATGCAACTATGAAAGCCCTACAGTACCAGACTTCGCTTCCTACAAGCACGCGACCTAAATCGCATTCAATGTCGAGCAAATATGACCTGTAATTGAATAGAGATTTGTTACAATAGATCGTTTCGGTTGCGACAACCAGGTGACCTGCTCCCTTCTCTATATCTAATCTAATCTATTCTAATTTAGGTGATATGCTAGTGGCCGTGACCACATCGATGACTGATGCCATTCACAAACCTACTCATTGGACCTTATCGGGGTGGCGTAAATGGATACCACCTTCTCGAGCCGTTTTTTTCCTGCGCGCAAAGAAGTTTCCTCTATGATGCCAGGGTAAAATCCCCCTGTATCGCCGGTAAACTTTTACGGCTACAACTTTCAGAAATATCGTCAAAATTTTTGTATGGAGATAGTAACAAAAATCTTACTGTAGACAAGTACACAAAGACTAACTGATAGGCTTTCCTTGCGAAATGTGTTTCGAAATGGATGCGTGCAGATACTAAATAATGACCGACTCTCTTTATGATTTATTGCTGTATCATAGCATTTGGCGTAATTAAATATTTTTGATCCATTCTTGCGTTCTTTTATTATTAATTTATTTTAGTACTTTGCTTTTAAAGTTGGTTCATAGCAGGCGCTCAAAATTGCGTGAAAAATACATTAACAGACAACAGGTATAAGTATGTACGTACAAGCATGAAAGATGTTGTGCTCATCAAAGCGATTTAATTATAAGTATGTACATTAGAGTGGTCCAAAATTGCAAGTGCAAAAGATAAGTCGTAATTTGTATGCCGCCACTCGCTAAGATTGTTCTATACCGAAAAAAATATACCCCTATTTTTTATTTTGAAATAAAAGAAATTTTGGTAAAGCTCAAAATTTTTCGTGTATTTTATATGGGGAAAAAACAACTTTTCGTAGAAATCGTGTAGAATTCTTGAAAATCAATATTTCTATATCGGAAAACACGGTTCCTATTCAGGAGACTCCCAATAATTATACCCAATTGTTTCTTTAACCATTTCTTCGCGGTAACTATATTTCATAGGTCCGCCAACGCCCCCCCTAAATGAAATGGGTGACCAATAAAAAATCTTTAATATTAAAAAGTGGTCAAATAAACAACTGGGCATCTCCTGAAGAGAACCACAGTTTTCCGATCGAAAAATATTGATTTTCAAGAATTTATACCATTTCTACGAAAAATTGTTTTTTCCCATATTAAATACATGGAAAATTTTTAGCGCTTTGAGCACTCCCTAAATATTTTTTGAATTCAAATAAAAAAAAATAGGGGTATATTATTTTCGGTATAGGACAATCCTAGAGGGTGCCGGCGTTAAAATTTCGACTTTATTTTTTTGGACCACTCTAATGTAATTATATGTATGTATATGTAATTAAATATTTGGAGCATTATTTTCTACGCTAATTCTCATTTGAAATATGTATTTCTATTAAAAGCATTTGCAAGTGTGTACGTAATTAATTTAATTCAGTTCAGTGCTTTTTTAAAGTGAAAATTCCGCGGCATTTCATTGAATTGGCTCTTTATTAGAGTAGATCTCATAACAGACGCAATCAAAAATTATCAGTCAGCGCCTTGTTTGGTTATATATAATCATCAATTCTAATTTTAATCCATTTCTGAGTGAAGCTGCAAACATAAAAATGGCAAGAGTTCAATTGCTAAAAAACGTTGTGGGGTTTTAATTTTAAATAATTTTTTTTTTTTATTTTATCTATATATTCAATAATTTTCATTGAGCTTGAGGCCGTTTTTAATGAAAAACTATTGTGGAAAAGCAACAGTAATTTTGAAAAAATGGTCGAAGTGATAGCTGTTTCGGAAATCACCACATTTCCTCATCAGACTTCTTTCAGTGGGATTCGATCCAACGACCCCACCTGACTCAGCCAGTTGCCTACGCACCATGCTAAGTTCGCCTTGAAAATTCTTGTTGCTTTTTCCACTTTTTCATTTGTATTGTGCATTTATATAAAAATTTTGATATTTACCTTTCAATTTCTGCCATTGCATCTGCACTTCACCATCCCATAATTCCAAAATGCGCGCAGATTGCTGCCGCGCACAACCCCATGGCTGTTCTCTTATTGGACATAGCACTAAATCTATATATGGCGAAACTTCTGTAAATAGATAAAAGAAGATGAAAATTTACTTATAAATACATACATAC